AGCCGCCGCAGTCGCAGCCTTCACAGCAGCCGCAGCAGCCGTCGCAGACGCGGCAGACGAGTGTCCTCCCGCCAGGGTGGCCCGGCGCTGGCGGTGGCCGGGCGCGTGGTGGTGTGCCGCGTGGTGGCTCTGGCGGCGGGCGTTGTCAGTACCAGATCCAGACCGGTCCTCGCCGCGGCTTCGTTTGCGGTAAGCTCGGTCACTCCACTCCCCGCTGTTTTCGTCGCCTGGACGACCTCTTTCGTCAGCGCTTCGGCCCGTCGCCAGACCTCCCGGACTGGCACAGTTTGCTTAGTCGTCAGATTCCGATTTTTTGATATGGACATGGATGCCATTGTTTCTGCTCTGCATGTGATGTATGCTGATGACTCTAGTGTGCTTCCCGCTTATTACTCACTGTTGCCTAGTGTATGTGTGCCTAGCTTAGCCTCCCCTGCTGCGTCAGGCGTAGGATCCCCTGCTTTGTGTAGTCTTGGTGCTTCCGCCGTCGTTCCGTCGCCAGACCCCTCGGCTTCGCTTTCCTTCACCTTGGACTCTGGCGCCTCTCGGTGTTTCTTCCGCGACTCCACCACCCTGACGCCGCTTCCTGTTCCTGCTGCCGTTTCTCTTGCTGACCCCTCCGGCGGTCCGGTAGTCGCCCGCAGTTCCACCACCCTTCCCTGTCCGGCGGTTCCTTCGGGTTCTCTTACAGGTCTGCATATCCCCTCGTTCTCCAGGAACCTAGTTGGTGTCGGCTGCCTCCAGGACCTTGGCGTCACCACTACGTTCCCTGGTCACGAGCGGTATGCTGTCTGTACCGAGGCCGCCACTGGTGCCCCCCTGTCCACGTTCCCCCGGGACCCGGTGTCCGGCCTGTTCACTCTGGACACCGTGACCCCCCCAGCTAGAGCGCTCCCTCAGGTGGCTGCGTCTACCCAGGTTGCTGCTGCCTGCTCCTGTCGCTCCCTCACTCACCCGAACCTCCTGTGGCACCACCGCCTAGGTCACCCTGCGCTCCCGCGTCTGCGTCACATATCTCAGCACGGTCTCGTCCTTGGTCTCCCAGGTTCGCTCCCCGCGTTTCCCTCCTCTCCAGCCCCACCTTGCACGCCTTGTGTCGAGGGTCGGCTTCGCCGTGCCCCTCACTCCTCCTCGTTTCCCCCTACCGCCGCGCCGCTGCAGACCCTGCACCTGGACGTCTGGGGCCCCGCCCCCGTCCCTGGGCCGCGTCGAGAGCGCTACTTCCTTCTGCTTGTCGACGACTTCACTCGTTACACCACCGTCTTTCCCCTGGAGCGCAAGGCCGACGTGCCTGGCGCTCTCATCCCCTGGCTGGTCTCTGCGCGTGTCCACCGCGGTCTCCCTGTCTTGCGTCTTCACTCCGACCGTGGTGGCGAGTTTGCCTCAGGTGTCCTTGGTCGCTTTTGTCGTGCGGAGGGCATCACCCAGACGTTCACCCTACCGGACTCCCCACAGCAGAATGGGGTCGCTGAGCGACGCATCGGTTTGGTCATGGAGGTGGCTCGCACCTCCATGATCCATGCCGGTGCACCCCATTTTCTGTGGCCGTTCGCTGTGCGCTACGCTTCTCACCAGCTTAACCTGTGGCCGCACCCTCATCAGCCGCAGGTTTCGCCGACCCGTCTTTGGACTGGGTCCCCTGGTGACGCGTCTGCATTCCACGTCTGGGGCTGCCTTGCTCACGTCCGTGCCTCCGGCACGGACAAGCTCACTGCCCGCACCCTTCCCTGCGTCTTCCTCGGTTTTCCCCTTGACGCGTCCGACTGGCACTTTTACCACCCGCCGTCTCACCGCTTCTTTCACTCTCGTGACGTCACCTTTGACGAGTCCGCCTCCTACTACCGCCGCTTTCCCCACCGTGGTCCCCCGGTTACCCCCCCCCTGTTCCTGGTCACCCCTTCCCCGGTAGTCCCTGCCCCTCCTCCTCCTCCTCCCCGTCCCGCCCCCTCTGGTGTGTCCCACGTCACCCCCCTTCCGTCCGTGGACCCGGTTGAGGAGTCTTCTGCCTCTGGTGGCCCTCCTGTGCAGTCCTCGCCGGCCGCCCCTCCCCAGGTGTCCCCTCCCCAGTCCCCTCCTCCACCGCCCCTACCGCTGCTGCAGCCGTCGTCGTCGCCGCCGCCGCCGCCGCCGCCGTCGCCCCCGCCGCCGCCGCCGCCGCCGTCGCAGCCCCCGTTCGCCGACTCTGGGGGTGCTCGTCCCGGTCGCCCTGGGGGTGGTCCCTCTGGGGGTGCTGGTGTGGAGAGTGCCGGTGGTCGCCGAGGAGCAGCTTGCGGTCCAGGTGTCGCCGTTGTGCCGCCGCAGCAGCGGTCCCCGCCGGTGTCCGCCCTTCGCCTGCTCGGCCTTCCGTCCCCCGACCCTGCGTCGGTTCCTCCCCGACCGTCTCCTCCTCTTCCTGTCTACGGCCCTGTTTTCCCTCCGCCGGACTCGTCCCCAGCTCGTCTCCCCCCTCGTTCCCCTCCTGTGTCCCCTCCCCTGTCTCCTGACCCGACTCCTCCGTCGCACGTCTGGTCTCACCGCCCCTCCCGTGCTCGTCCTGCCTCGCCTGTCTTGCGCTCCCACCCTATGTTGCTTCGTTCCCACGCGTCTCGTCCTCCCCTTCTCCCGTCGCCTCCTCCGTCCTCCCTTGTTGTTGCGCCCCCCCCGCTGTCCGACTACCTTCGTGCCGCTCGTCCTCTCGTCCCTCGGGTCCTTGCCTCTCTCGTTACCGACCCGTCAGTTCCGGTCTCGTGCCTTGAGGCTCTTGTCGCTGCTGTCGCTGACTTCGCCTCTACCCGCCGCCTTGACTACGCCACCGCTCTGGTCTCTGACCCTGCCTGTCCTCCGTCTGTCGGGGGTGCTCCTGCCCTTGGCAGTGACGTCCTGGAGGACCGCCAGTTCGAGCTTGCTTTCCTGTCTGAGGCTGCTCCCCATCTCTGTTCCATGCTGCTAGTCCCTGAGGGTGACCCAGACGCTTTCGACATCCCGACCCCTCGCACTTACGCTGAGGCGACTTCGCGACCCTGGGCCTCACAGTGGATAGCTGCCATGGAGCAGGAGATGGCATCTTGGAGATCCACCGGCACCTTCGTCGACGCAGTTCCCCCACCTGGGGTGAACGTAGTCGATGGCCGCTGGCTCTTCAAGGTGAAGCGCCCTCCTGGAGAGCCGCCTGTCTTCAAGGCGCGCTATGTTGCTAGAGGTTTCAGTCAGCGCGAGGGGGTGGACTTCTTCCAGACTTTCGCTCCGACCCCGAAGATGACTACTCTTCGGGTTTTGTTACACGTAGCTGCTCAGCGTGACTACGAGCTTCACTCCCTCGACTTCTCCACTTCCTTCCTTCAGGGCAGCCTACACGAGCAGGTCTACCTGCGTCGCCCTCCGGGCTTTACTGGCACCTTCCCTCCTGGGACCCAGTGGCTCCTGCGGCGCCCCGTCTACGGCCTGCGCCAGGCTCCCCGTGAGTGGCACGACACTCTTCGTGCTACCCTTGCTGACCTGCAGTTCTTTCCGTCTTCCGCAGACCCTTCACTCTTCGTTCGTGCTGGCCAGACTCCGTTCTACATCCTTGTTTACGTCGACGACCTGGTCTTTGCCACGGCAGACAGGGACGCACTGGCCTCCGTGAAGGCAGAGCTGCTGAAGAGACCCACCTGCACTGACCTTGGAGAACTGCGTCGTTACCTTGGCTTGCAGATCTCCAGGGACAGAGCTGCGCGCACCATCACCCTGACTCAGTCACACTTGGTGCGCCAGGTCCTTCAGAGGTTCAGCCTTCAGTTCTCCTCTGCACAGCCCACCCCTCTGCCTGTAGACCACAGACTCTCCGCTCCAGTACCTGAGGAGGTGGTAGAGCCCAGTGGCCCCTACGCAGAGCTGGTGGGTTGCCTCATGTACCTGATGACTTGCACTCGCCCAGATCTCGCATACCCTCTCAGCATCCTGGCGCGCTTTGTGGCCACAGGCAGACACCGACCGCAGCACTGGTCTGCCGCTAAGAGGGTTCTGCGTTATCTTGCTAGTACGTCGGGCATGGGGTTAGTGCTTGGAGGACGCAGGCCAGTGGTCCTTACTGGACACACAGACGCTTCGTGGGCAGACGACGCTGAGACACTCAGGTCTACCCAGGGCTACTGCTTCAGCCTTGGCTCAGGTGCCGTCTCGTGGAGAGCTACTCGCTCCTCGTCTGTTGCACAGTCCAGCTGTGAGGCTGAGATCTACGCTGGTGCCATGGCGGCACAGGAGCTCCGCTAGCTGACCTTCTTGCTCACTGACTTAGGTGAGCGGCCTAGCTCTGCCCCGGTCCTGTTCGCTGACAACAGGGCCATGATCCTCCTGTGTCAGGAGCCTCGACTCGAGGGCAGAGCGAAGCACATTCAGCTGCGGTACTTCCTCCTGCGTGAGCTACAGCAGCGACGTCAGGCTCGCGTAGTACACTTGGCCTCAGGTGCCAACACAGCTGATATCTTTACGAAGGCGCTTGCGCCTAAAGATCATCAGCGGCACTGTGTACAGCTTGGTCTAGTTCCTGTCGCTTCTCACTTGCTAGGACCTTGACTTGTACTGTCCTTTATATGTATACTCGGACTGGACTTGTGTCCTCTCCCAGTGGCTGGACTAGTAGTGCCGCCCTGCTCTTGTTCTTGCCTTGTCTGTACTCCTTCTGACTGGTCTCTCAGACCCTTGTCTCAGAGGTTGGACTAGAAGTGCCGCCCTGAGCTGCTTGTTTAGGGTATTCCCCTATGCAGTCTAGGGGGTGTGTCAAACATCTGCATTTGTCATGTTTGTATAGAATGTATAGGGTTACCTCTTAGAGGGTACAACACTTAGGTATATTTGTGTGTACTCTCACTTTACCATCAATTCAATTTTCAATTCTGATAGCTTTCTCTTGGGAAGGTGGATATATGGAGCTCAGCTCTCCTGAGGACATCCCTTCATGTCCCAATGGTTAGGACTGGTGACTTTATGACTCCCTGAACCTCTATGGAAGACAGCCACTTGACAAGTCTTTTTCTTCGTGACTGTTAGAAGGAGCTTCGAAATGTACGAAATTACCATATTTACGAAACAATGACAAACCAAATAACTTGTTCTGCTAACTGTGTGCCTAATCCCGAACTGTCCTCGCCATATGCAGGTAGGTCCGTCCGTTGTCAGACAAGCCCTGGCCTGGACTTACTGCAGACGGGAGTAGGGGCAATCGATCACACAGTGGGAAGCAGTGAGAGATTCAGCATCGAAGGGAGCAGCAGAAAGGCAACTGCCACGGAACACCCTGTTATATGTAAATGGAAATTCAATAGCAGAGGGGCAACCGCGAACACACAATGAGACGCGAAACGTCGAATACTAGACGATGTCGAGACTTGCGTAACCTCAGTCGGCCACCAGAAAGGGCGCGCGGGGTTTTAAGAGCCTCTGGACGCTCTTCGGTCTCCAGCGAGTGCCTCTTCCCCGTGAACTCAACCCGAGGGCGAGCGGAGGGAAGATGCAGATGATTAAGCTAGGAGCCGACCAGGAGGAGAACGGATGAACAGAAACGAAACGAGGACGCGAAAAGGCGGCTTACCGGTTCAAAGAACGCCCTTGTTGAACGGCACGCGATCGGGTTGAAAGGCGGCAAATGCGTTACGTCTCCAAGAGAGGTTCAGCAAGGAGATGTGGGGGCACAACATAAACACGAACTATCTAGAAGTTGAGAGAAAGGCATGGGGGGACAGGAATTTATCCCTCAAGGCAGGCAGGAATTGGCAGGGGAGAACCGAAACTGGAGGTTCGGGGGCGGGGAATTGGGAGGGGAGGGGGGAGCTGTGGTGTGGATGGCGGCGATGGCAACAGAAATGGTGTCTCCGCGGAACGCCACCCCATCGCGGAAAACCCGAGGGTTTAGGATATAAGTCGAATAAACAGATCAACTAGACTGCATTGAGTGTAAACTTGACGAATCACAATGTGGTAAGTTAGTCAACATATCAAAAGAGTCTAACAAATACCTCCAGTCAGTAATCACTAGTGCTAAAGAGTTCCCGGGCACTTTCATACATTAATTCCACGATTCTGGCCATCAAGCTTCTTACCAGGCACCTCTACCACTGCCACCCCATGCACCTCCACCACCACCACCACCACCACCAGCGCCAGCAGCAGCAGCCCAGCTACTAGGCGGCCCCTCTGCTTCCCTGCCATCCATGCGACCAAGGAGCGCGGCAGCAGAGCCATCACCCAACCTCACCGTGATCCCCTTGTTCTTGCGTCCCTTGCCCCTCTGTGCCCCACCCCCACCTCCCCCTCCCCTTCCCCCTCCTGCTGCTCCGCCCCTCCCTGTCGCTGCCTCCTTGCATGCCTTGGGATTGACAGAGCCACAGGCAGCGCAGCAAAGAGCCAAGGGGTCGTTGATGAGCGTGCAGATGCCACACGCCCAGCTGGAGCTCTCCGGTTGGTCCACAGATGGCTTGGCGTTACGCGGCGCAGGAGCAGCACTCAGCGCGGAACGGTTGGGCGGGGATGACATGGAAGGGGCAGGAGATGATGAGGAGGAAGAGGAGGTAGAGACGGAGGAGGAGGAAAATGAAGCGACCCCGCCCTTTTTACCCTGCTTTGCTCTGCCTGACTGCACCACTCCACCAGCCACACCAGACACACCACCACCACCACCACCACCACCATCACCACCCACAGGAGCTGCTGCGTCATCACCAGCACCAGCAGCAGCAGAAGCCGTTCCTCCCCCTCTGCGCATCATCGCCTCCTTTTGCGCGTGTGCCTGCAGCAGCTCCTCCTTCTTCCTCACATCCGGGCACAGCCGCGCGAGCTGGGGCACCACGTGGCTCAATCCCAGGCGGAACACGTGTGCGTAGAACACCACGGTCAGCATCCCACCCGACTTGAACTGCACCGACTTGTCTTTGAAGTCCTCCAGCTTGGCCTTGTCCCCTCCCAGCGACGACCGTATCTCCTCCAACACTGTTCGGTTTGCGGCTCGGAACTCCGCTTCGTCGAGCTGCAGACGGTCCAGGATGCTGCTCCCTTCGCTCCTTGAATAACCGTTCTCTGTCCGTGCCGCTGCTCCTCCTGCTGCTGCTCCCGCTGCTGCTCCTGATGCCCATGATGATAGTGATGGTGATGACGACGTGCGTGACGGCAACAATCCCCTCCCTCCTGGCCTGTCACTCCTCCCATCATCTCCCTCCCCCTCACCCTCTCCCTCACTCTCCCCCTCGCTCTCTCCCTCGCTTTCCCCCTCGCTCTCCTCCTGCCCTGCAGACAAGAGGGAGAACGCAGAGGGAGTCACAGCCAAGCCACTGTCACTACCGCCCACCCCAATCCCCACTCTACCTCCATGCTCCCTCCCACTCACACCCACCATCGCCCATCCATCTCCACTACTCCCATCACCACCACCACCACCACCACCACCACTCCCATCCCCGGCCCTCCGCCACACCCCTGAGCCTCCCGTGCTGGCTTGGGAAATGATAGGTCCGGCAGCGTTGAGGACTTGAATGCCGCCTCTTGCCCCTCGTGCAGGCAACCCCGCCCACCCACTGCCCTTCTTCCCCTTCCCCCCCTTCCTCCCCCCTCCTCCTGCTGTAACGCCCCGGTTAGTGATGCTGCTCCAGCCCGGATCACTCATGAGAACTGCTGCCATGGTCGGCCCACCACCCGCTGCTGCTGAATTCGCCCTGCTGCCGCTGCTGCTGCCTGCTGCACCTGCTGACGTGCCGATTCCCGCTCCGGCTGCCGCCCATTGCCTGCCCTTGTTCTTCTTCCTCCCAGCCCCGGCAGCATTGGGCAGCGGAGGAAACAGGGTGTCCACCACCGCCCCTGGTGTAGCCCCTGAAAGCGCCCTGTCCGCATACCCACCAGCACCACCAGTACCACCAGTACCACCAGCACCACCAGCGGTACCACTGCCATCACCGCTGCTCTCAACACCTCCCCTAGCATTCGCGGAGGCGGCGGAGAGGGAAGGGAAGGCTTCAACGCTGCTTCCGCCCCCTGCTACCCCTCCTGCCCCACGCCCCCCAGCAGCAGCAGCAGCAGCTGACTCCCGGAGTGCCGCATCCACCATCGCCAACTCAATACTCGCTGCCATAGCATCACCGTCACTCACTCCCCCTCCCGCTCCCCCTCCCCCTCTCCTGCCCCCTCCCCCTCCACCTCTCCCTCTCCCCCCCCTGCCTCCCCCCCTCCCCCCTCTCCCGTGTCCGTGCAGGGGCATGTGGGAGCGGTCTGCAGTGTAGGACTCAGCACTGGGGTCGTCTGAGCTGGTGCGAGGGGTGTGGAAGTTGAAGAGCTGAGATGCTGGGATCTGGAGTAGAGGAAGGGAGGGGGGGGGGGAGATGGCAGGTGGGAGAGAGGTGAGGCAGAGAGCGGGAGGAAAGTGTGGATGAGATCGGGGTGAGAGGGGAAACGCGAGTTGAGGAGCAAGGGAAGAGGAGAAATGAGAAACGCACAGGGCAATCGCTCGGGCAATGAGTCGCATGCATGCACAGACGCTGAGGGTTGAACCATTATCTGGTCTTCCTTCTTCCTCAAACCACCTCGATTAATCTTCCTCATATGTAGTTCTTTCCAACCAGAGTGCATCTCGGCCAGAGCAGAGTTCGTTCCTCATATGTAGTTCTTAACTGCATTGGCGTGAAATGCACTCATACAATTATTGCTCCCACTCCCTCCCTTGTATCCCTGTTTTATAATCCAACAAACCCACCTCTCTCCCACACCTGCGGCCACCTACCTCTCCTGAAGGGCCCCACCCCCACCCACAGGCCCTTCCCCTTCGCCCCCCCCTTCTCCCCCTACCTGCAGCACTCGGTTGCGCTCCGCTCGCTTCATGTTGCCCGCATGCATCTGAGCTATGTGGCGCTGGGGGCGGCAGGCGGAACCCCGGGGGGGGGGGGGAGGAATTTGGGGGGCCGAGGGGGGAGGGGGCGGAAGAAAGAGAGGGAGACATGGTTGAGTCATGGAGTCTGAGAGGGTGAGGAGGAGGACGGCAGAGGAGGAGGGGCAGGGAAGAGAAGAGGAGATGTTGCTCGCTGTGTTCCGTGAATTGATTCCCCACAGCCATTTCTCCCTAAATCCTGCACCTATTTCCCCCGCCCATTCCTCCCTCTATTCCCCTCCCTCCCCCTCCCTCTATCCCCCTCCCTCTATCCCCCTCCCTCTATCCCCCTCCCTCTATCCCCCTCCCTCTATCCCCCTCCCTCTATTCCCCTCCCCCTATCCTCCTCTACTTCCCTCCCACAGCCCCAATTTTGAGCTCCATGTCGGAGCCGAAGACCACGAGCTTCCTCTCCAAGCACTCGCGGCCTTCGCAACCCACTGTCCCACCGCAAAGCCTGAACCACCCCCAAGCCGTCCTCCCCCCTCCCCGCCCCCCACACCCAAGTATCGCATCTCTTGAGCTCCATGTCGGAGCCGAAGACCACGAACTTCCTCTCCAGGCACTCGCGGTCCTCGCAGTCCACTGTCCCACCACCTTGCCAAAACCACCGACTGCCGTCCTCCCCTCCCCTTCTTCCCTTCCCCCCCCGACCCAAGTATCGCACCTTGAGCTCCATGTCGGAGCCGAAGACCACGAACTTCTTCTCCAGGCACTCGCGGTCCTCGCACAGGTGGTGCTCGTGGCGGAAGTGCACCTGCCGCACACGCGGGGGGGGGAAAGAAGGCGGGGGGAAGAGCACAGGGCCGGAGCGGCAAAGGGGCAGGGGGAGAGGGGTGAGACGGGAAAGAACGGGGAGAATGGGTGGTACAAGTAGTGCTCCAGGTTGGGTCCAACAGGGCAGAATGGGGAGGATGGGAGCCGGGGGGTGGGGGGGGAGGAAGACGCAGAAGGCAATGGGCGCAAACGCACAGGAGGTCTGGAGGAGAGCTGAAGTACGAACTGGAGTACTGAGGAACGACGACGACGACGACGACGACGACGACGACGACGATGACGACGGGGAGGGGAGAAGGACTAGGCAATGGTTACAGTAACTCGATCGATTGGGAACACAGGACTGATTGGTTGGTTGATAAATAACCTCGAGGTCGTTGTAGGACCGGAAGTACTCGTAGCTCCCGGGATGCGCCCTGTGACAACGAGAGAGCAAGTGAGGGGGGGAAGTGAGGGAGGAGCACCCGGGGAGAAAGAGAGGGGAAGCAGAGGTGCGAAAAGAAGCGGGGGGGGGGGGGAATATAGGGCGGGAGAGGGATGGAGAGACCCGGGGGTGGTTGGGGGAAGGAAAGGTTGGTCACCACACAAAAAGAGAAGGCGTGATTGACAAACGAGGGTCTGCAATAGAAATAAGAAGAGGGGGGATACGGTACGAGCAAGGTAGGAGGACGAGGCCCTGGTGCCTTTGGATGTCATCTTCACACCTGCTTATTTCCACGGCCTTCCGCGGCCCCCATTTATAATCTTAACCATCTCTCACAATATTCCATTTCCCCACCCCTCCCGCCCCCCACTCCCCCCTCCCCCCGCTTTCCCCCACCCCGTCCCTTCCCCCATCCCCAACCTGGAGTCACCCTTCCCCTTCCCACCCCCCCCTCCCCCACCCCACGCTTCCGTCCTTTGCCCAATTCTCCCCGTTTTCCCTTTTTCTCTCGCTTCCCCTCCCCTCGCCATGTGCGAGCGTACCGCTGGCAGATGTGGCACGTGTAGTGCTCCACGCTCATGTGCTGGTACAGCTCGTTCTCGCCGTAGAACCGCTTCACGCAGAACTCGCACCGCGGGTGCCCGCGAAACCCGCCCCACACCTCGCTCGCGTCCGCTTCCCGATCCGGCTCCGCGTCGCCCGTCGCCGCGTGTCGCTCAAGCTGGCGCCGAGTGTACAGCCGCTGCTCGCACACGAACACCTTGCGACTCTCCAGGCACAAGTCGCACATGCCCAGCCGATGCGACTGCTGCAGGTGTGACTTTAACGAATCGACGTGCGTAAACGAGAAGCCTGGGGGAACAGGGCCCGCCAAAGACTTCCCCCCGTGGCCTCCCCCTTTTCCTCCTCTCCCCTTCCCGCTGCTTCCGCCTCTCCCCGCTGCCCCACCACCCCGACCGCCACCTCCCCCGCCGCCTTTACCGCCGTCAGCTGACCTGGCCTCAGCGGCTGCCGCGTCAGCATTCGCGGCGGCGGCAGCGGCAGCGTCCATGGCAGACGGCGGCGCGTCGCCTTGGCAGACGCGACACGCGAGGCGGCTCATGGCGCCCATGGCTTTAAAGTGGTCCTCGTCGTCGAAATACGCGTGCATGGCCGGCTCGTACCAGAAATCGCCTCCCGTCAGCCCGGGCTTCTTGACGGCCCCGGGTAAGAGAGAGAAGTCGTACGACGAACGCGTGTACTCGCCAAGGGCCTGCCAGGGGAGGAGGGGGAGGAGGGGGAGGAGGGGGAGGAAGAGGAGGAAGAGGAGGGAGAGGAGGAAGAGGAGGAAGAGGAGGAAGGAGGAGAGGGGAGAATGGCACTTGGGAAGCGGTTGATGCGAAACAAATCGGCGTTGATAAGAGGAGCAGAGTCAACTAGCAACCCTGAGAGATGGGTAAGCGTCCCTCTGTCTCCAACTATCCGTTTTGGCGAAATATGGAAGACATGAATGTGGATCGTGAGTAGTCTTGTAACGAACTGAATGGAACGGGTATGTAGAGTATGTAGAGTAAATGGAGAGGAGATTACTTTAGTGACGACGACCGCTGGGCAGTCTTGCTTGCATATGCAGCAGCGACTGTCGTTCATGACGATACGCAGCCGCGCGACGCACATGGAGCACACGTCGCGATGGCGGCACGGGCCGATCGCCACCCACTGAAGCGGCTCGGCGCACACCACGCAACAGTCCTCCATGTTGAGGAGCGGCGCGTGGAAGCTACTACCGCGGTAGCGCGGGAAGCAACGATAGCGGGAGCACGGGGAACGACTCTCACTATCGCACAGGTACACAGGGCGCGATGCAGGGAAAGGGAGCGGGTGCGTGGAACCGAGGAATAATTATGGAGGATGAGGTCAGAAAGGTCAGGAGGTGGAGGAGAGGGCAGGTGATACGCTGGATAGGCGAGCGGGGGAAGTGGGGGGAGCGATGACTGAAGGGGGAGAAGGTGAGAGCGGAGTGTGGTTGGGGGAGACACTGGGGGAGGGGAAGAGGAATGGCGGGAGGAGGGAGGGACAGAGCGGGGTGGGAGGGTAGAGAATTCCGATGAGGCGCAGCGACCGGGAAAGCGGGGCGCCCTTGGGGATTCCATCAAGGTGGCGGGAGGGCTGGCTGGGGCTGCAGGGAGAACCTCGTCGTCAGGGGCTAAAACGTACGTGATTGGTTGGATGAAAACAAAATGTTGTCCACTGTAATTGCCTCGTCGCGAAGCGCCAGCGGAATCTGCTGAAATTCTGTCGTTTGTAAAGGGGTTCACGAAATGGAAGTGCCACATCTGTAAAGAGTTACCACAAAAACACGTTAGAGTCCGTGCCAAATGCTCCACTCAACAGGTGGGGAGATTGTGGCTGGGACTGGGACTAGACGAGGTGACGTGGATATATGGGGATTCAGTTCAGCCGCTCGGCTGCAACTGGTTCGGGCCCTTATGTTTCCGCTCAACCGTCTCAAACCGTATATCGAGTTTTCTTGACCACAGAAAACCTAATTGAACCGCTATTGTGAACGCTTTTACAGCACATTCCATTGGTCATTTCTGGTTCAAACCTCTCACTTTCTGACGGGGGTGGGGGAAACTAATAATATCCCCCAGCGTAAGGCGTATTCCCATAGGCAAGTGCATGAAACAAACACAAACCGTAAAGAATAGTTCTAAGCGAAGCAACTCTCTAGGAAACATGCCATGCCTTCCCATTTCTCAATCTGGTTTCTTGCAGCACTCATCTCCATGTTTCCAGCTCATCATGGCTGCTTGCATGTCCACCACCACCACATTCCACCTCCCACCGCATTCCGCGCTCGCCTCTCGCGGAACCTGTACAGCTCGCGCTTCCGTGGTTGTCGCGTCCGTGCATGGCGCCCATCTTCACCACTTCGAAAGCGCCTTTCCTTCCAATCGCCGTCTTTCCAATCGCCGTGCCCGCGAAGCATTACCCTGACATCACCCGTGGTTGGTTCGCATCGCGTCGAACACGCGTCGCCGTTGTTCGCTCTCTGTGAAGATGAGAGAGAACCTTACCGGGGCGTGCATCCTTGAGTGCATCCTTCAGTGGTGGTCGCCGATCAGATGTGGTTTTATTCGACGCGAGCTGAGCACAGCCGAGCTGAGCCGAGCCGAGCCGAAACGAGCTAAGCTGAGTTGAGTAGAGCTGAGGCGAGCGATGGCGGAAGAGGAGTTCCTTCCGATAGTGTGCGACAATGGCTCCGGCATGGTCAAGGTCAGAAATGTCGAGGATTGATGTTTCGATAGTTTCGTCCGTGCACTGCAGTTTTGAGGCGCCTCAAAAGTGAATAACTCTTATCACGCGGTTTCGTCCGTGCAGTGCATCCACTCGGCTGCTATTTAGTCTGACTCAAGAGTCACCTCGTTACAATCTCACCCGTCGCGTTCTTATCACGCCGTTTTGCCCGCGCAGTGCATCCACTCCGCTGCTACGCCGTGCACGTCGACCAACGCGTTAGCACTCTGTGACATAGAACGCCTAGAAACGCGGGAAATTAGCCGCTGGTTCTGCTTGCGCTAGCTGCTGGGAATACCAAGCTCGTCAAGCCTCGCTCTGCCGTAACTGAGTCAGGCGTCGCATCTATGGTGGTGCTCAGGTCTTGCCTTATTCAGGCTGACTGAGTTACTTGCTGCTTGTCAAGGCTGTCTCAGTTACTTAAGCTCCTCGTGCTGTTGCTGCTGTTCCAATCCCCGCCTTGGCAGGCCGGTTTCGCTGGAGACGACGCTCCGCGCGCCGTCTTTCCCAGCATCGTGGGCCGTCCACGTCACCATGACGTCATGATCGGGATGGGGCAGAAGGACGCGTACGTGGGCGAGGAGGCGCAGAGCAAGCGAGGCATCCTGACCATCAAGTACCCCATAGAGCACGGTGGGTGGGTCATAGAGCACGGTGGGTGGGCCATAGAGCTATAGAGCACGGTGACTGACATTAGTTTCTTGGCTTTTTTGCTCAGAGAGTGCGCCATAAAGTGTGGAGAGCGCGCCATAGAGCCATAGAGCACAGTGAGTGCTGGTAAGGGCACTCCTTTGTCGGTGTTCCATATCACATGCTGATGCAGGGTTGCCTTTCCCTGGTGAATTGGTTATTTGATGAGAATGGTTGGTAGGTATCATTGCTATCGCGTGGGTGGAGCCGACCACTTCAAGAGCATCACGTCATCCCCCCCGCCCCCTCCCTCTTCCCCCCCCCTGCGGGCAGGCATTGTGAGCAACTGGGACGACATGGAACGCATGTGGGCGCACACGTTCTTCAACGAGCTGCGCGTGGCGCCTGACGAGCACCCCGTGCTGCTCACGGAGCCGCCGCTCAACCCCAAGGCGAACCGCGAGCGCATGACGCACATCATGTTCGAGACGTTCAGCGTGCCCGCCATGTACGTCGCCATCCAGGCCGTGCTCAGCCTCTACTCCAGCGGCCGCACCACAGGTCCGTGCCCCGCGCTGTGCTGGGCTGCTGTGCTGGACTGTGCTGGGCTGTGCTGGGCTGGGCTGGGCTGGGCTGTGCTGTGCTGTGCTGTGCTGGGCTGGGCTGTGCTGTGCTGGGCTGGGCTGTGCTGTGCTGTGCTGTGCTGTGCTGCGCTGCGCACTGTGCTGTGCTGTGCCGTGCTGTGCTGTGCTGTGCTGTGCTGTGCTGTGCTGTGCTGTGCTGGGCGGGCCGGTGCTGTGCTGTGGTGTGCTGTGTTGTGCGCACCAAAAGTCGGTGCCCCGTGCTGTGCTGTGCTGTGCTGCGCGCCACTGGTTTGGGTGTCAAAGTCAGAACTTTCAGTCTGGTTTTTCTCTCTGCATCATGTCCAAGTAGTCATGTGCCACAGCAGTGGCCCAGAAGCATCTTTAAACGTGCGGTCTCCATCATCTCTCCCAAGTCCCTCTCTCCCTCCCTCCCCCCCCCCTCGCTCCCGCCCTCCCTCCCTCCCTCCGTTCTTCTCCCAACCCCAGGGCTGGTGGTGGACTCGGGCGACGGCGTGTCCCACGTGGTGCCCATCTTCGAGGGCTACACGCTACCGCATGCCATCCACCGCCTCGACCTCGCTGGCCGCGACATTAGCAGCCACCTGGCAGTGCTGCTCACGGAGCGGGGCTACTCCTTCACCACCACAGCCGAGAGGGAGATCGTGCGGGATATCAAGGAGAAGCTGTGCTATGTGGCCGAGGACTATGAGAGAGAGCTCGCCATGGCAGAGGGTGTAGGAGGAGCAGGAGTAAGGGTGGGAGGAGGAAAGGGGACGGGAAGGAATAAGGGTGGAAAATCCGAGAGAGAGACGCCTTGCGGTAGCGAGGAAGCTGCAGCAGCAGCGGCGACTTCCACCTCCCTCGACAAAACCTACGAGCTGCCCGACGGGCAGGTGATAACGATCCGTTCGGAGCGGTTCCGCGCGCCCGAGATCCTCTTCTCGCCGTATCTAGTGGGCATGGAGGCGCCAGGCCTGCACGAGTCAGCGTACAACGCCATCATGCGCTGCGACGTGGACGTGCGCGGAGACCTGTACGGGAACATTGTGTTGAGCGGCGGCTCGTCCATGTTCCCAGGAATGCCGGAGAGGATGCAGAGGGAGGTGGGGGCGCTGGCGCCGGGGAGTGTGCGCGTGCGCGTGGTGGCTCCGCCGGAGAGGAAGTATAGTGTGTGGATTGGCGGGTCTATTCTCGCTTCGCTCACCACGTTCCAGCAGGTGTGGTGATGGTGGGTGGTGGTGGTGGGTGGTGGGGGGTGGTGGGGTGGGTGGTGGCTGATGGTGGCTGATGGTGGTTGATGGTGTGTGATGGGGTGTGATGGTGTGTGATGGGGTGTGATTGATGGTGTATTGTGCAATGGAACGTGGGCATGAATTGGTGGTGAACATTGTGCATGGGGATATGGTGATGTTGATGGTTCTTGGAGTGGTCTTCTGGTATGTGGTTAAGGACGACCACACACACACTGGTCTCCCCTGTGCCATCCAGCTCTCTCCCCCTCCCCCCTTCCGCCCCGCCTCCAATGGTCACTTGTTCCCTCTCCCCTCCCTGTGTGCAATGCAGATGTGGATATCAAGGGAGGAGTACGAGGAGTTTGGTCCCAGCATTGTGCACCGCAAGTGCTTCTAGTTGTTTCTAACTCCTAAGCGCTGAGTCAACTGCTAGTGCTAGTGCTTCTTGCTGCTTTGGGATCTGCACTAGGACCAACCAACCACCCACTCCATTCCTCCTGTCACACGCAGGGGCTCACCCATCGCTGTGGCTGTAGAGATTTCTCCTGTCACTCTAGATCCTGACCACCCTAAACACGTGGTTTACTTCAATACAGTGTGTTCGAGACCAGAGCAGCCTTCTAGAGCTGCTTTAGTTAGGTAGTGTGGTACCACGTGGCCTGTCACCTTGCTCGTGTGTGTGTCCACTCCAATCCGGGCTCTTGACTCTTGAGGGTTTCTCAAGGACCCAAACGAGGCTTTCTTTCTTTCTGCTGCAGTCTGATCCGGCAACAGTAGATTTGTACAGTATTGCAATTTGCAAGCTGCTGAGCTGAATGCGATGATAACAGTCCCGTACATCATTCCTCCGCAATTCTGTTTAGGGTGTGTCAGTCATGCCTGGTATGGTACTCACTTGGTGATTCACATGGGATTCCAGAGCCTGAACAACAGAGCAGCTGGGCTCAACTATACGGCAAAATGTTGCACCTAACCTACAGCAGCAAGACGGTTGCCTGCCTGCCTGCCTACCTACCGCACCATGCCTACAAGCCTACACTACACTGCACTACACTACAGCAAAAAAGCTGAGCCTGATTTCCCTCAGCAAACAACAATCAAGAGAGCAGCAGCACATACTGGCACTGGCACAGCTGGCATGGCATTGCTGTGCTGGCACACCTCGCCAGCTACACAACACCTCACTGCCGCTCAAAGGCGCCCACTGCCACTCAGAGGCGCTCACTGCTACTGTATGGTGGTGGGGTGGATGGTGGGGATGATGATGGTAGTGGTACAGCTCACTGGTACAGTATGACCGTGTCCCTCGCATGCTGAAACACCTGGTTGGGCGACACGGGTGACAGGCTGTTCTTGGGCGGCAGCTGGCCCCTCTTGGCTGCTAGTCGTCTCAGAGCTGTTCTCGACCCAGCACTAGCCGCGGTGGTCAGTGCAGTCGACCCCCCGCCACCCCCGTCTACCTCACTATACCCATCCTCACCACTTCTCCCCTCGCTTCCTCCGCCCACGCTACCTCCCAGTCCCCCTCCGCCTCCCACTCCAGTCCCTAAGCTTCCGCCTCCTGCCCCCCCACCTCCTACACTCAACCTGCCCCAATCTCCCTCTCCCTCCCTGCCCTCTCTCCTGCCTCTCTCCCGTGCACGCTCCCTCACCTTATCCCTGACCCTCTCTCCATACCGCAAGGCCCCGTCCCCTGCTCTCTCCCTCCCCCCTGCATCGCCCTCCTGGTTCCACACAGTGTCATCTGGTGATATCCCCATCTGCCGCAACACCTCGTCCACCTCATCCATCGTCGTGCCGGCCGATTGGTCTGACAGCCAATCCTGGCCCTCCACGTTTCCCTCTGGCACCGGCCTTATCTCCCCATCTCTGCCTCCCGCCGACCAACCAGGCAGCCCCGCTGCTGCTGCTGCCGCTGCTGCTGGCACCATGACTCGACAATACGGCCCGGCTCCATCCCCCCCTCCCCCTCCCCCTCCCCCTCCGCCTCCTCTCAGCCCGTATTCTTGATGATACCCTGTCCCCTCTAGCCCCCCACCGCCCCCACCATACCCATAGCCTCCTCTCCCCCTGACTGACCCACTGGCCGAGGCACCGCTGCTGTATCTCCTGACGCTGCTTCCATACGTGGTGGAAGACCGATCATCGTACACACTCCCCGGCGCACTCCCCACAACCCCCACTTTATGCCCCCCTGCCACTGCTGCCGCCCCTGCCCCCGCACCCACTGCCGCTCCCGCCCCCATCTGCTGCTGCTGCTGGTGCGAGGGAGGGGACAAGCTCGACCCCCCCCAGCCAAACAGCGACGAAAAGATCGAGCTAGCAAACGACGGGGTGGCAGGGGAAGAACCAGCAGCCGTCGGCGCCGCAGCAGCAGCACCAGCGGAGGTGGAGGGCGGGGGGGCAGACAGCGCCCCTTTCCCTGTGGACGAGGAGTCATCTAGCGAGGATGACCCATCGGATACCTGCCTGCGGCCGTGGGTGCGGCTGCGGCCCTCACGGGTGCGGGTGCGGTCATAGTAGGGGTAGTGGGAGGAGGCGCTAGCAGCGCCCGTGCCGCCCGAGATGACGACGGAATCCGAGAGGCGGTCCCGCTCCACGTAGCCGTCGGAGCGCGGGCGAGAGCGGTCCCAGCGCGTGTAGTCCCGCCGACCGTAGGGGCTCCTGGTAGAAGGGGATTTGGAGGGGGGGGGGGGGAGAGGGGGGGGGTGGGGAGAGGTGAGGAAAGGAGAGGAGGAGAGAGCAACGAGTGCATTTGGCCAGCGGGCTCAGCTACAGGTGCACATCCTAACAGCAAACAACAGCAATGGAAACAGCAACGGCAAAGGTAGTAGCAGCAGCAGCAGCAGCAGCAGCAATATCAACAGCAGCAGCAACACCCAGCCTTACCTTCTCCTATCCGACGTGCTCGCACGGGACAGCTGAGGCTGCTGCCCATACCCCTTCCCCCCCACGCCCACCCACACACCATCCTGCCCACCGCCGCCCCCAAGTCCCTCCCCCCCGCCCATCCCCAACCCGCCCCCTCCTCCTCCTCCCCCTCCCCCTCCCCCTCCCCCGCCCCCTCCGCCCGTCACTACCGCCAGCTGGTTCAGCAGCTCCACCACCTTCCCCTCCGCGGCTCTGGCGCTCCTCTCCGCCTCGTCCCTCTGCGCCAGCACCTTCGCCACGCGCCGATGCATCTCCTCCTTCCCCACGCGCGCCACTGTTGTCACCCGCTCCACCCACTCCTGCCGCTCCTCCATGGCTCGCGCCACCGCCGCGCCCACCTCAATCTGCAACTGCTCCTTCTCCTCTAGGCACTGCCCTAGCTCCTCCTGGCACTGCCCCCACCGCATCTCCAGGTCCTGTATCCGCTCTATAAGCCTCTCCCGTTCGTTGTAAAGCGCAGCAACCGCTAGGGTTTCCACGCTCTGCCCTGCCCCTCGTCCTCCGCCTGCGCCTCCCCCCACGGATGCTGCTGCTCCTCCCCCAATGCCGCACCCCCCCCCAGACCCCCCCCCTGGCCCTATCCCCACTCGCCCCGCTCCTTCCCCCCCTCCGCCGGCGCCGGGGGGGTTGCTGGAGTCGGACGATGACGTGGAGGTGCCTGATTGGTCCAGAGCGACGCGCAGCTCGTCGCACTGCTGGCGCAGCAGATCGCGCTCCTTGGCGGTTTCGGACGCCGCCACCGCCAGCTGCGCGCGCTCCTCCTCCGCGCTCGTTAGAAGATTGCGCGTGGCTATCAGCTGCATGCTCAGCTCGTCCAGGGCTTCTGCTTGCGGGGCGGACGGGGAGCGGGGTTGGAGAGGCGCGGGGGGAGGGGGGGAGGGGAAGAGAGAAGGGGGGGGACAGGGAAGGGAAGCGGGGAGTGACAATGGTGGGGAAGAGTGCTTGGCAGGGTAAAGAGGAAGGAAACAAGGGTGATAACAGCGAGAGGAATACGGAAAAGAGAAGGGAGGTGGGACGGCGTTGGGGCACAAACGCCCTCCCCCTCCACGCCACATCCCCCCCTTGGATAATCAATATGGAACATCGTAAGCGAAAACGCATGGCACTCCGGCATCCCGCCCCATCCCGCCCCACCCCGCCCACCAGCCATGCGCTGTCGTTCCGCTTCCGCCAGCACGAGCTGCTCTTCCGCGCGCATCATCTCGCGCGCCATCCGCTGCACCTCCATTTCCGCCGCCTCCCGCCCCCGCCGCTCCGCCTCCACCTGCTCCCCCGCCGAGTGCAGCCGCGCCTCCAGCACCCGCACCTCCACCGCTAGTAAATCCAACTGCGCGGCTCCTACGGCGGCTGTTGCGGCGCCTAGCCCGGAGCCGCGTAGACTAGAGGATCCTAAAGACGTATACTGCTGCTGCTGCTGCTGCTGCTGCTGCTGCTGCTGCTGCTGCTGGTTGTACTGGCCCCGCAAGAACCGGCTTCGGTCCACCAGACCGCTCCGGTCCGCAATCAACTGCGCCTCGGTGTCCGAGTCCCTGTCTCTTAATCTGCTGGGCCGGCTCAGTCCGTCGGAGGGTATGTCTAGACGAAGCCGCGCCAGCCGCGTCGCATTCGCTACGTCGCTTAGACTCCGTTCAAACTCCCTTCCCCCCGCGCCTGCTCGGCTGCTGCTGCTGCTGCTACCGCTAGTAGCACCACCTGATAGAAGCTCTCGCGCCAGTAAGCCCATAGCCGCGTCTTTCTCTAATCTCATAAACTCCCCTTCGTCCAAACGTCTCTCGTCCCCTCGGCCTACACCTGCTCCCCCCCCTGCTCCTCTCACCGCTTCCCCTCCTGCCCTCGCTCCTCCGCCGCCCCGTGCATCCGCACCCCCAACATCCCCCCCATAATCATCCCCATCATTGTTATCATCGCCCTCTATCCTCTTCCCTTTCTCCTCGGCCGACGTGCGGCTCCGCAACCTGCCTGAACCGTCCCTGCCTCGCGCCTCCCCGCTAAGTCCGCCGCTACTGCCGCTCTCGCTGCCACTGCAGCTGCCGCCGTTGTCTTCCCCTGCCCTGTCGGACGCTGACGTGGACGCTAAGCGGCTAGCCTGCTGCTGCTGCTCCCCTTCCCCGTGGGACGCAAGGTGACCGGAGCCACGGGGGCTGCCCCGGTTTCGCGCCATGGCTGCTGTCGCCAGATTGACGTGCAAAAAGGAACGTCTCGCCGACTTGCTAAGGAGTGCGTTTCGGGACGCCGCTTGCCGGAAAAAAGGGCGGATGAACGGCGGAAAGGGCTAAGACGGAATGGTTTCGTGGAGCGGCTTGTGGTACGAAAATTAGGGCCACTAGACAAAGCTGGTGAATACAAAATGGACGAGTCGGGAAGAGTCAGGAACAGGTGGAAGGGTACTCGTCCTGGCTTACACATCAGAAGCCTATTATAACTTATTGTCTTACTCGCACCGCGAGGCAGACCGTGTGCTAGGGTAAGTGTACATCCTGCCTGCTACGCACTTCGTTGGGTCGACTGACGCAGCCTCATAATAACGCGTACAGGAGAGTTCAGATCCAGCCATCGACCAAGCTTCACAGATACATACATGGTAGTGGTCCCAGGAAAATACAAACTCTGCTGCTTTGCTCATCCGGCACCTTCATTCCGTCCTAGCGTACAATTCGATACGAGAGACGCAATCTTACGTGATGCCTGAACCTGAAGCTACCATAGCTATGACAGCCTTCGTTCGAGGTGGCAAAATGGCTTCTAGGGTTTGACTAGGCGTTCCTTACAGGTCGAAAACGGCAACTACGTGGACGGGCTGCGGGGCAGGGAGTAGGGGGAGACAGGGCGGAGCGGCGGGGAAGGGAAGGGGGAAAGTAATGTCGTCATTGGGGTGTAAGGGAGGGCGGAAGGTGTGCAGGGGGAAGGATAGATGCAGGGCGAAGGGAAACAGGTGGGGGGCGGGGAAGATTGGGCGCAGAATGAACTGGCGGAGGCAGCGCCAGCGGGGAATTTGGCTGCACTGAATGGACTCGCGGAGCAAGGTGGTGGAATTGCGGCGGAACGCTTTGGAAAAGAAATATGCGGCGGAGGCTTGTTGAACCGAGAAATTGTGTTCCCGTACAGTGGCTGAGAACAGAAAGGGCAGAAATGTGTCACCAGGAAATGCTGCCCGCTGGCTAATGCTGCTGCCCGTTCACGAATGCCTTCACAGAGGAAAGGCCCATTTGGTGGTAGGTGTTGTCTGGTTGAGAAGGCGCAAGCAAAATGCCAGGGGGAAGTTTACCTTTCTGGCATGACCGGCCTTGAGTGCATTTCATTATAAGGCCGAAAGCAAATCTAATCTCCTTTGCTATGACTCTCTCTAGTCTTAAGATCTCACACGAATCTAATTGGGCGTTGTGATGAAAACTTTCTTTCATATATTCATGTTCTTTCATATTTTTTATAGGCATCCCTAGGGGAGTGTAGGGTGAATAGGCCTAGGAAGGGGTGGGGCTAATGATAAAAGTTAGTGTGGTCATAAAAATGTAAAACAAGAGGCGACGAGATCGTCTTAGGGTTGCGGAGCATTTCATGATGAGACTTTATTATACATAAAATGTTTTATTTCCATCACAAAAAGCATTTAATTTTTATTTCACAAACTTGAAAAAAAAAACCAGCCCGATCGATTGCAATAGGTTGCTCCGCAACCCAAAAATAGTAGTGTGCACCTACATGTTGCTACTATCGAATTGTGTCGAATAGGCGAGGGTCGTATGGAAGATTCTCGAGAAAATGCTCTCCGAAGACGCTGCCACACTTGCTTGTCAACTTATGTATTTTATACATATAGTTGTGTAGGCTTGTTAGGTGTTCTACAATTGTGGATCCTACTATAGATGCTACAATACCCTCCTTGTATCTCTATCTCTCTCTCTCTCTTGTCTAGTCACATCGAATTGTGTCGAATAGGCGAGGGTCGTATGGAAGATTCTCGAGAAAATGCTCTCCGAAGACGCTGCCACACTTGCTTGTCAACTTATGTATTTTATACATATAGTTGTGTAGGCTTGTTAGGTGTTCTACAATTGTGGATCCTACTATAGATGCTACAATACCCTCCTTGTATCTCTATCTCTCTCTCTCTCTTGTCTAGTCACATCTCTTTTCACTCGTCACTTTTCCTACCTAGCTAAAACCTCTCACTATTCTCATGCCTACCTTAGCTTCTTAGCTCCTTCGAATATGGTTTCAGAGCAGGAAGATCCTACTAAGCCTCCTATTCAGGCTTCCGCCGCGTACTCTCTCATCTCCTTTCACTTTCGCGCCGCCATGACGGCCTCCATATGCTGCCGCGACGACCTCGTTGAGCAGCCGTGGCGGCCTCGCCGCGCTGCCGCAACGACATCGACGCGCTACTGTGGCGGCCTCGCCATGCTGTCATGGCGGCCTCGTCGAGCAGTCGTGACGGCCTCGCCGCGCTGTCGCGGCAGCCTCGTCGTGCTGCCGTGGCGTCATTGTGCTACTGCGGTGGCTTCGCTGCGCCAGCGCGCACAGACGGTTGCGGCTGCGCCAGCGCACAGATGGCAGCAACCAGCACAGTGTTTTAGGCGCCAACCAGTACGCCCGCACCCCAGCCAGCGCGCAGGTCAGGACGCCTCGCTGAAGACACGCTCCCTCCCATGTGTCTCCCGACATCCCAACCGCAGCTGGTGGTTCCTTTCCCCGTCGTTGTCGGGCCATGCCACGCCGCCGGGTGTCGCTGGTTTCGCAGTCGCCGAAGCCGCCGCCGCCGTAGCAGGTGCAGCTGGCTCCGCCGTTGCCGCTGTCATCGTCGTAGCCGCCGCTGACGCCGTTGCTGCCACCCGCCACCGATGTCGCCGTTTCGCACGAGGGGTATAAGCTGCAGCCGCTGTAGGACATGGGGGTGCAAGGGCTTGGGGGTGTTGCGTATGTGGTGTGCTCGTGCGTACCAAGCTTAGGGGGTGTGTCAACTTATATATTTTATATATATAGTTGAGTAGGCTGGTTAGGTTTTCTACAATTGTGGATCCTACTATAAAGGGCATAATACCCTTCTTGTATCTCTCTCTCTCTCTCTCTCTCTCTCTCTCTCTCTCTCTCTCTCTCTCTCTCTCTCTCTCTCTCTCTCTCTCTCTCTCTCTCTCTCTCTCTCTCTCTCTCTCTTGTCTAGTCACCTCTCTTTTCACTCATCACTTTTCCTGCCTAGTTAAAACCTCTCGCTATTCTCATGCCTACCTTAGCTTCTTAGCTCCTTCTAACATTGCTGACCTGATGAGCCAATGGAAATCCTGCTCAGCGTGCGCTGGAAGTCAACACATTTGGGGGTTTTGTTCCGGCCCATTTCTAACTCGCATCAGATTCAACATCGCGCCAGTTTCGCGACGAAACGAGTCGCGCCACATTGAATTGTGAAATCGAATGTGTGAACTGCGCAGGATCGCAACACTGACGCGAGGTTTTCCGGCGCGAAATCATAGGTAGTGCGCGCTCGAAGAGTCGAGGGCAGAATTTAGCAGAATGAGCGTCGTGAACTCTCCATATAAATTATGGTGTGTTCATACTTTTCATTAATCAAGCATTGCCTCCCTTATATCGGTATCTGAGCCCTGCCGTTTTCAGCACTGCATATCAGGCAAGTTGGGGCTCGTCGTCGAGGGCTACCACAATGCAAACCTTGTTGGAGTTTTGCAACCAACCCTGTGAAATAATCCAGATGCAGCAGCCAAAATTCGAAAGCCCGCACATGTGCCCAGCGAGGGTTGGGTCGGATGGCAACGATGAGGGCACAACACCCACCCCTTTTTTTTTTTTTTTTTTTTTTTTTTTTTTTAAATGCTGGTCGCTCGATTGTATAGTTTACTTTCGTTTGATGTTCCGAGTTGCAAGGACTGCGAGAATTACCAGAAACACTCAAATTATGCCAGGCGATGTATTCATCTGTACTCAGGCCAATCACTGGGTTTCTTTCCGCTGCCCGAAACGAGCTTAGGGTTGATGCCTCCCGACGTACAACCAGGTTCCCTCTAGGGTTTATATTTTAAGGCTGCCCATAAACGATTTGATTGGCTTGAGTACAGATGAACACGGCGCCTGGCATAATTTGAGTGTTGGCGAAGTTGTCCCCAAGGACTGTCGTCGGATGTTGCATCGTCGGACACGCGACACTCCATAGAGCATGCCATGGTATTGTCGAATGCGAATCCAGTTTGTGCCAATCAAAGGAGTGCTGTACGCGCTGATGCGGCACTCGACACTTCCTGATACTGGTGTTTTATGATGGATATGGGTATCAGACTTGTTTGTGTCTAGACAATTCCTAATATCTGAAAAGTAGGAATACGCCCTTACATCTCTTCTACACTCTTAGGGTGAGGGGCTTAAACGACGAAGTGCTCCCGAAAGGGGGAGGTGCTTTTAATCAAATAATGTGCATAAGCTCCACTAGTTGATTAAAGGAGTCAGGGTCTTATCCCCCGGGGGGATGCCTATCCGGGTGAATATGGTACTTCCATCCATTCAAATTTCACAATTCACACCAATCTATCACACCAAAAAGGCGTGCATTTGTTACCGTGCCTAAAAAGGCATCACATGTGGAAATCATAAACAATTTTATGTTTTCAAAGTCCATTGGGTTGTCTATTATAAGGAAATGACCCGAGCATTCCTGGAAGTAAAAGTCACATGGTAGTAACTATAAAGAGACCCATTAGGGTTGCCCTAGAGATCCTCCAGGAAGGGCTACAGGCCTTTATGCCTTGAGGGTTATGGGCGCGCTATCCCGCTATTTAACAAGCCCTTTTAGTATAGTGGTTAGTGACTGCGCTTCTAACATGGTACCCGAGTCAACGGTCTTGGGTTCAAATCCCAGCATGCCTCGGGGAAGGGCTACAAGCCTCTGTGCCTGTGGGGCTATGGGCGCGCTACCCCGTTACTTTACAAGCCCTTTCACCACAATGGTTAGCGACTGACACCCTCCTGACAATAACATCCTCCTGCGCATTATAACCTCTATTGGCTATGCACCCATGTCGAGTTGAGAAGGGCAACGACCGTTGACCGTGGATCGGTAACTCAACCACCAGAATTTTAAGAGTCCGAAACGATATCACTGACACATAACTGAGTCGTGTACGATTACCAAGTCGGATATCAGATCCAAGGGAATGCACCCCTGTGAAATGCTTCATTGGTTAAACTCTTCATATTCTCTTGTATTACTATATAAACCATGTATCTCCTTGCCCTAATCATCTTGCTATGTTACATTCACTTTGATAAGGTCATTAACCAATCACAGCACTTCGTTAATGAAACTTGAGCTAGTGTTCAATCCTTACGATCCCAGGGCACTTGTTATCCCTTCATGTGTAGATGTAAGCAAATAAACTAGTGTTCCTTATTACAAGACTAGCTTCGTAAAGCGTCCATCCCTGTAATAGGATTGCCTAAACTAGTGTTCCCCTTAGTTCCACCACCACTTCAAAGGGGCCTCCGTTTCGAATAGGGCCTATTTTTCCCCTCTAGCCACTTTCGAAACAGTCTCACAAATATCTGACGCAACCGCCAGCTGCTAGCTGCCGGCCACCAGCCACAAACGCTAGCTGCCAGCCACAACTACCAGCCACTAGTCGCAACCGCTCGCCACCAGCTGCCAGCCACCAATCGTCAGCAGCCAGTCGCAGCCGCTAGCTGCCAGCTGCCAGCAGCCAGCGGTAGCGGCCCGTCGCCAGCTGCCGGC